GTTAACCCTGCTGAATCTTTCTCCATACACACACACACACACGCACATGCACGTGCACATGCTTTCACTCACACACACACTTATGTGGCTTTTTCCTATGTATATATTTTATAATCGCTGCACACAGTCTGTATCACGATCCAGCTTGGTCTGGATCCCGGCTTCAACTAACCCACATCTGGGCTTATTTGCACACAGAAATTTGTCTGTCACCTGGCATACACACTCACACACACACGTACACGCAGACACACACTCACTGTGCTATGATGCACAATTCAATTTCACAAATATATATAAGGCTTCAAAAGTACCGCACTGTGGTGCGTTCTAAAATGAAAGACAGGTTTTCTGTGAGCTGCCTGCAGTGAGACAGACAGAGAAAGCCAGGCAGAGGGTTGCCTTCATTTAAGCTGTTCTGCACTGAGGCTTTTCAATTTGATTATGAGTTTCCATTTCATAGAGCCTAGATGCTGTGTGCTATTTAGAATAAAATTGAGCCATTTCTTATCTGGACGAGCTGCCCCCACGTCTCCTCTCTGGGGGCATCGCGGGCAGTCAAGGGCATGTTGGGGCCCCATGCCTGCTCTGCCACACTCTTTAGTAGTGTTGCAGCGAACATGCCAAACAAATAAACTAAATAACTGAGAAGCTTTGGTGGTTGGCTGAGTGGGCATGAGAATGGAAGGGACTGAATGTTTGTGAGTTTGGAAGGTGAGGTGAGGATTCTTCCTCCAAGCCTGTGAACATCTAAGGGACTGAACAAGGATCCAAATGGATTTCAGTAATTTTTTAATTCAATTAAAATATAATAAAAACACAATTATCAGAAAGGGAAATGAAATATTCTTATAACTCAATCTGTCCAAGTTTCTTCAGCGTTGTTATAGATGCTGATGTCTGTGAGCAGGAAGGATCTCCTGTAGCGGTCTGTCATACAGCTGATCCGTTGACGCCTCTGACTGAAGACACTGTCAGTCCAGTGAAGGGATATCACTGTTTTGCACCTGGATCTCAGTTAAACTGGATGTGATGTCATTCCGACTGAGTTCTGGCTTCAAGGGCTTTGGTTTTGTCTTGCCATGTTAAGCACATGGAACAGCCTGACTGTAGCAGTAATGTGCAAAACTAGCTAACCAAAATCTGACGTATTATGAAAGTCGAAAAAAGAAACTTAAGCACATCATTACTTTGCATTTATGCTCACTCTTGAATGTAAACCTATTTTCTTAAAACAGGTTTTTGTGCCCAGAATTTCTCTATAATAGTACAATCAAGGAATTATTTTGTCTAGAAGACTTGGCTGAGTCTTACCTCTTCTTTCATACTGTCCAGGATTCATATTTCCACTTCAAACATCCAGGATACTAAAAATACTCTGAGCTGGGAGCAGGACTTCAGAGTTATTTAAATCACCAACAAGGATCACAGATTATTTTTTGAACATGACTGACATATTGTGACGAATCAAAGGAAGAAGTTTCTCGCAAATGGAGGTAATCTGGATCCAGAAAAAACTGTTAAATCGCAGGTCTTAGTTCCACAAAAAGGAAATCTATTTTCAGTTTTCTACAAAAAACAAAACTAACCTTTTTTCTTTCTTTTTTTTTTTTTGAGAGAGTCAGTACACATCAGTGATTTATGCTCAGACATTTGTGATGTTAAGTCTGAAAACGATTTCTGAAGCTACACTTTCTCCTTAAATCTGTTAATGGCATCGGCATTGAAATGATTAGACATGTAGCGAATTCTAATATTTGTTGCTAAATGCTAGGCTGGTCGAATGAATTATAAAATCAGTCACAAGACGGTTAAGTTCAGATTCCCTCTGCAGGGAACTCTGCTGTTATCTTAATTTGTTGAACTGGTATCAAATTAGCTCTGATTAGCATACTCACTGATCTAATTCAGTCCAGGCACAAAGAACAGCAGCCTAATCTCCACTGCCATATCAGCATCTATCTGCACTGTTTCCTGTCATTCAAACTCAAAGTTCACTTACTCCACTGACTTCTGAAGTATAGAGGGCTTCTAATGGCACAGATTAAAAAGCAATTTAATACAGAAAAGGGGATTAGAAACACTATGGGCTGCACTAATCCTTAACCTTTAGTCCTGTTCTTATTCGCCACAATATGCGGAAGATGATAGCATCACAGGACGAGAGTTAGTGAATTTCCATTAGGGCTGCCCTTCTGTATTCCCACCAGCACTTTTAAAGGCATTAGGCATGCTTTGTCAAGGCTAATAAAAAGGTCTGGAAGTGGTATAGCATCCCCTCAACTTGTTCTTTTTTTTAAAGGCACTGTTCCGTGTGACGTGTTCATAACCCATTATGATAATCTGCCCGGATCTCCGAAGGACCCGGGGCGACGGCCACATAGATGCTGCTGGGGTGACCGATGGATGGAGTGTTTTTCGTCTGCACTGCAAGATGATGCAGAAATGATATTGAGCTTAGAGACAAAATGTCTGGTTCTTTTTCAGCTTAAGGAAATCTTAAAGGGGCAGTATTATGTAAAATCGACTTTTTTAAGCTTTGCACTGAGTTGGAATGTCATTCCCTCATCAAAAGCATACCTGGGGCGTTGCTTTAACACTTTCACGCATGTTTGAGAACTCCTTTTGTCTCCCATGGCAAACATTCAGCTGTGTAAAACCTCTCAGTGGACCAAGTCCTGCTTTCAAGCTGCAGGTTCCAAGCTTCCGCCTCCCACTCGACTCCTCCCTCTGCTCCCTCAGTTCCTCCAGACTAGCCTGCAGCTAGCACTTATCAAACACATGGTGGAACTGCACACGTGCAGAGCTCATTACATTAACGGTGTATATAACCTTGAACACACTATCCCTGTCTAGAATGCTGGTAGTGGTAGCATCACGGTGGCAGCAGCATCATTAAACAGATAACTGTCCCGCCCCCCGTAGTAATGCTTTTCTTCAGCAGTGACAGAGAAGATACTGAGATTTTATTAGACAAACACACACACACACACACACACACACACACACACACACACACACACACACACACACACACACAAATAAACAAAACTAGTCGAGGCTGGAAAAGATGAGATTAGGTCAGAGGTTGAGGTTTAACAGGACAACAGACCTGATCATACAGGCTGAGCGATGAATGTTTTTGATCAACAGAAATGTTATTAGGTTCAGTAAATGAGTTGTAGCAGGTTGAAAGGAAGCTTTTCCGAAATTATTTCGACACTCGCTTCAGTGAATTTTCATACCAAATTAGAAATGTATCTGCATATCAATTTTTTTTGTCAATAATTATAAAACAAGATACATAAATAGTCAATATGCCCTTTGTTGTTTGTGTTGCTACAGCTCTCCACAGTAAAGAGTGCTTGTGTGACAGAAAAAGGGGGTCATGCCAAGCATTAATCATTCATATCTACATTTCTACAAAGCACAGATTCAATTTTCTGCACTTTGTATGGTCCACTGTTGGTTATGTGGTTTTATTTATACATCTAGAGCTATTCATAATTAATTTGTTTTTAAAAGTTCCTATTTTGATTTCATTCTGTAGAGGGAAGAGCTCGTCGAGACGTCACGTGACACCATCCTTAAAGAAAAACAAATCTCAAGAAACAGACGCATGCAAATATTTTCTGTTTCACAATTTTGGATACTTCATAGTTTTGCAATAAAAACTTTAACTTATCCTTTAAAAATATTCATATCTATTGAATTTTATGCATCTTGTGGAACTGAAACCTGAAACTTGAGTGCATTTTTGGAGTTTCTTTGTAATAAGTCAACATGTAGTATCAGATACTTTCAAAATATATGTAAAATGAAGCCAGGAAAAGACCAAAATTGAATTTTTGTGACAAACCTGCAAAACACTGTATGAGATAGAAAACTAACTGTGCACATGACTGTGAACACATTATCCCCATGGTGGCAGCAGCAGATAACCGTCCCCCCTCCCACTACATAATCACAGCGTTTACCTACTTTGGCTATATCTAGAACCACATGATCAGCCTCAGCTGCCTTGCCATATACAGTGCTAAAATAATAAACTACATTTAGCTTCCTGGCTAAAACTCCTGGGACTTGGTCATCAAGCTTGGGTGTTTGGTCTTAATATAATGACACAGCCTTACAGTGTTGTTAACTAGCACGTCTTGGCAGACAACAGCCTATAGAAATCCAAAGTTTCAATATTCATAGTGATACTTCCTTCTTTTTTTAATTTGTTTGACCCAGACCATATATTATCGTTCACCATAGCTTAGTCTGTCCATCTGGTCTCTGGCATAGGCTTGGCGAAGTTGGCTAAATGTCTACAGTTACTTTGTCTGTTTTTTTTTTTTTTTCCTATTGAAGAGCACTTTGAAAAGCCCTGGTTTAGATCAAAACATACCCATACTGGAATGACCTAGTCCAATCCAGACATAAATGTTATTACTCACAGCTACTGTATACCGAGAGTGAACTTGGGCTTTTTTGCAAAGAAGTTTGAGCAAAAGTTGTAGTTTAAAGTTGTTCAAAGCTGGTGCAGATAAACCCTGGAAGACATGAAGATGAAACAACTGAAAGCAAATTCAGTTCAGGAAGGTATTGACTCAGGGGGCGAGAAAACGAATGGATGGCACACTGTTGAGGTTTTCATATGTAAAAATTATTTGGCATTATTTTCTTTTGCTTCACAACTACACACAACCTTTTGATGGCATGGAGTACATTGTTTGTGCTTCTTGTGTAACATGTCAAAAAATGAAAGTGGATTGGATTTTTGCAAGGCATCATAGTATTGATGGTTTTCGAAGGGCTTTTTTTTTGTTTTAATTTGTGATTCTTCTCAACAATGAGCCAAGTATTTGTCTATGTCTGTCAGTTGTTGCTCAAACTCTCGCATCAGTGTCCTATTTAAAGAATGAACCTGTGTGGGCTTCTTCAACCCACCGCTAGATTTTACACCTTGTTTGTTGTGAGAGTGCGTTATTTATTCTTGCTCTTTCTGTTTCCAGACCTCAACTGAGCAGAAGAAGCTGAGCCATGCTGGATCCAAGCCCTCCCTTTCTGAGAGCAGTGGCCGACTCCCTCAGATAGCCATGAACACCTGCAAGTACAATGGCGGAGTGGTAAGACCATTAGTAGGCAGCCTGGCGTCCTCGTCGCGCCGAAACCTTGCGGAGCTCGACTCGGAAACGCAACCCTTGCAGACGCTGCACAGCTCTGGCTTGGAGGTGGTGGTGTCCAAGGGCAACGGCGGAGAGGACCCCAGTAAGGCATCCAACGAGAGCCTGGTAAGGGAGGGTAGCGGGCAAAGCGGCGGCAGGGCTCCACAGAAGAAGAACAAGGACATTGGCTACAAGCTCGGTCACCGGAGGGCGCTGTTCGAGAAGCGAAAGCGACTCAGTGACTACGCACTCATCTTCGGGATGTTTGGGATTGTTGTCATGGTGACGGAGACAGAACTTTCATGGGGGGTTTACACTAAGGTGGGTTTTGTGTGTGTGTGTGTCTGATTTCTACCATTTGTGTGTATACTGCCATTTTCAGCTTTGTGTCACTCAACATCTTTACATGGTGTTAAGAAAAGCAATAGATTTGTCTTGATTGTTACTGAGTGGAGTTCCATCCAATCATCAAGCTGATCTCAGCTGAAATGGAAATGACCCAAGGGGTCTTAGTAGAACTGTAAGCTCCCACACCAGACCGGCAGCAGGTTCTGTGGACGGTCCACTTCACCATCTCACTTTGCCAAGTGGAAACCTGAGGTTCAGCTAAGGTTTTCTGAGCCCTGAAGCAGGAAAACTGGTAGGGAGAGTGTTAGCACTAGGACTAAAAAATCCTTGAACCACTGGCAGGTGGATTAATTGGTTTACCCGATGTTATTTCACCGGGGATTTCTCAAAACAATTTCCAAATATCTTGAGAGCATGTCACTGAACTGAGGGGCAAGGCAATCTAGTTGATGGCTAAAAATACATTTGGTTATATAGACCACTGAAGGACAGAGTGATGTAGAGCTGCTCTGACTGTCATCACACTGCTGATTACGCGCAATATTTTCTCTCGTTTTTATCATTTGTCGCTTGCGCTGTTATTATAAAAGCAATCTTAGGATCATTAGCCTGCAGTAGAGGGGCCCTTTTACACCAGGGCTGTTAAACTGATTTATCATCTGGCATTTTACCAAGTATGAGGTGTGAGGACTACCGGTTCTCATTTCCAATGTACACAAATAAACAGCAGCGGCGCTCTAGCATCCAGCCAGTCTATTTATCACAAGCACAGCTCATGCTGGTGGCCCTGTGCTAATGTTAGCAATGACTTTTGGCTCCAACCACTATGTAAAAAGTCCCCCTATTTATGTGACATTTTGATTAATCTGTACTTTCATTTATGATGAACGGTGTCCAGATAGCATCAGGCTGCACTTACACCTGCACCTGCATGGCTAAGCATCATCTTAAGTGTAGTTTTTGTGTAGAACTACATTATCCACTTATACTAATAGAAATCCTCTGGACTTGTGTCAGTAGTGTGTGTGTGTGTGTGTGTTTGTGTACGCGTGTTCTCGTGTGTGTGTCTGCGTGTTTCCTTTATGATGAGTGCTTTTGTTTCATTTTTGCCTCTCATTTTATATTTTCATCCTAAACAAGAAAAACAATAAATTTGAATATTATTGAAAAGTTTATGTATTTTAGTATCCCAGTTCAATAAGTGAAGCACATTATATAGATTAAATTAGCACATATTGATGTTTAAAAGCCTTTCTGTCTGTTATGATGATCTTCATCTTACATAAGACCAATAATAATAATGAAGAACATTCTCAATACTGAAATGTGGGCTTATTGAAAAGCATGTTTAATATCCAGTTAAAGGCAGTTATGTTCAAAAGTTAATTTCAGTCTGACAAAAGAGCCAAATATCCAAATATATAGAATATGATTGTTAATGCAGTTGAAACCAGATATTTAAATATGGGCTACAAAAAGGCATATTTTATTTTTCCCTGATATTAAATCTTACTGCTCTGCGTCATTTAGGATTACCAAAATTATCTATATTACCAAGCAGTATAACTGTTTGAAATGCATGTTTTTAGAGAATATCTTATCACTTTATATGAAAATTATTATAAATACAAAAACTAGTTCTGCATTGTCAGGAATTGAACTTCTGAACTATATGTATATCAACCATCTTTTTTTCCTGAGCATTCTGGGATTTAGCTGACAGAAACAATCTGGTTTCATATTAGACAAAAAAAATATTTTGTCTAATTTAAAGTCACACGAACAAAAAGTGTATGTAAATATAAAGAGCATATGTGGATTTCTGGTTTGAACTTGGTTGTAGCAGAACCACGCTGACCTTTCATTACAAATAAGAGTTGCCACTACAAGCTTAGGTGGTGGAAGCAACACTTAAGATGATACTTGGGCAACTTTTGAAAATATATCACTTGCCTTGCCTCACACTTTACATATTTGAAAAAAGCACAACTAAATTGTTGAAAGATGTGTTTTTTTCAAGGTTGTGTGTGACCTTCTTTTGTCTGAGGTCTATCCATCCTTTATTAGAGACATGCTATTCAGAAATCACTGGTATTATTATTATATATAACAATGCACACTAAGTGACTTGTATTTTTATATGGCTTATGTTGATGATATTGGAGTAAATTATTCTTTTCTTTGTTTTTATTGCAGGAATCCTCATACTCATTTGCACTGAAATGCCTTATCAGCCTTTCCACTGTTATTTTGCTTGGTCTTATAATAATGTACCACGCCCGAGAAATCCAGGTGAGTCTATTAATAAAATATTCACTTCAGGGGTGGTTCTAGATGAAGGCCATTAGGGGCCAGTGCCCCTGCAGAACTGATCCTGGTCCCTGTTATTCCTCCTGTACTGAATAAATCATACTAAATTAATTTCTGATATGTGCAGGCATGTATACTGTACCTAATTGTCCTTTGGAGCAAATTTATTTTTACCTTGAGAATTTTACTTTAACAATGAATTAAAATTTTAGTGTTGCATTTTTAGCATCTCTTGTGCTGAGATAGGATCAAAGATTTCATCTGCAGCCTGGAGCTCTGGAGTTGCAAGTGGCTCTTTGGTTCTGTGGCTCACTTAATATTTTAAAGGAGTAGACTGCTACTCTACTCCAAACCAATATTGCCCTGTTTTTATTGCTTCACTCTTTTGTTTTGTGTGACCAGTGTGTCCCATGAAAGGACACACTGGTCCCTCTGATAAATTTGGTCTAGAACCGCCGCTGAAGAACTTCAGCACGAGTCTGAACTTAATTTTGAGATAATAAATAACTGAAGGAGAAATAGGAAAACATTTTGTTTTCATGATTAGCCATTCCCTGGTTTGAACCTCAGCTGTAACTCAGAGCATGCATGAATAATCCAGTTTCCTCCAGAGCAGGGTTCTGCAAATCCAGGCCTCTAGGACCAATATCCTGCAGCTTTTAGATCCTGGTCCAACACACCTGAATCAAATGGTTCAATGAGCTCCTCTCTATGCTGTTTCTAGAGTCCTAGAAACAGTTATCTCATTATTTCACTCTGAGTTGAAGCTGAGATGCATCTAAAAGTCACAGGACACTGGTCCTGAATCAAGGCCTGGGTCTGAAGACTGCTACTCTACTCCAAACCAAAAATATGTGTGAGGTTCATTCATTGATAATGAAAATATAATTTCTTTTTGTGTATTTTTTTATTTAATTGACAACTGGACCAAAATGTATCTTGCCTCTTGCCCAATAACTGCTGCACAGACTTGTTGTGGTGAAGAGAGAGCTTGGCCAAAAAGCAAGACTATGTTCCTGCCCTCATTTATGGTCATTTTTTGGGTTATGATAGAAAGAATAAAACTGCTGACACAAGCAGCCAAAATGAGTTTCGTCCGCAGCGTGGCTGGACTCTCCCTTTGAGAAGACATCAGGAAGGGACTCAGTTTAGAGTCTTCACATCTAACGGAGTCAAATAAGGTGATTCTGTCATCTCTTTTGGATGCTTCCAAACATGTTTCGGGTATGTTCCTCTGCTGGGATACTCAGCTGGCCTGGGCACACATGGGGATGTGAGGATGTGAAGGATGTGAAGGAGGGAAACCTGGGCTGAAACTGCTGCCCCAGCAACACTGTTCTGCATAAGCTGATAACGACTAGAATGAGGAAACTGAACTGCAGTTCAATTTGATTGATTTATCAAATGAAACAATTGAAAGATGCTGTACAGTTTTTTTCAAATAAAAGAAAATACATTCAGCTAAGATGCATTTTGCTTCTTTTCAGCTGTTCATGGTCGACAACGGAGCAGATGATTGGAGGATAGCCATGACATATGAGCGAATTTTCTTCATTGTGCTGGAGCTTCTGGTGTGTGCCATTCACCCCATCCCAGGCCAGTACGTCTTCACTTGGACGGCGCGGCTGGCCTTTACCTACACACCGTCTGTGGCTGACGCCGACGTGGACATCATCCTCTCTATACCCATGTTCCTGAGACTCTACCTGATTGGCAGGGTCATGTTACTCCACAGCAAGCTGTTCACTGATGCCTCGTCCCGCAGTATCGGCGCCCTCAACAAGATCAACTTCAACACGCGCTTTGTCATGAAAACCCTCATGACCATCTGTCCGGGAACAGTGTTGCTGGTGTTCAGTATATCCTCCTGGATCATTGCTGCATGGACTGTGCGTGTCTGTGAGAGGTAAACACAGGGCTGTGAATAATGGATGTTGCTAGGTATAAACCAAGATACAAAATGGCTGATGCACAGTTGTGTTGATTTGTGGATTACTAGATGCCTTCCTTCTTTCCACGTTCGTACCTGTCGTGTCTCATTCTCGTCAGTCTTCTCTTGCTTTTTATCACTCACCTGCAGTGGTCCACGTGGATGAAATCATTAGCATAGGTCATGTAGAATCAAAGCTTACATGTTTGCAGGAAGGCATTCACTGATTCGCCCACATATGACAGCCCTGCTGAAATGGTTAAAAACACCCTGACATCTGTCTCATTAGCTCAGCACTCGCACCACAACTTCCCACTCCTTGTTTTAGAGGAATATTGCTATTTTAGATGGCTTGTCCATAATTCATGAGAGCCTAATTGTTTGTTTGCTGAAAGGTTTGTTTTGGTAATGCAGAGCAGCCCCCAAAATCCCTTAACCCGCTTTTCCTCCCCCCCAAAGCTGAGCATCTTGGTCCGTCTCGGGAGGGGTGGCAGGGTGGGTATTGGTGGGAGGGGCATCAGGGAATTTCAGTGAAAATGAAGGAAAGGTAGAAAAAAAAAAAAAAAACGGAAAGCTTTCCGTTCTCTTCCTCGCTTTACATTTGCATAGGGAAATGAGACGCTAATGTCAGCTTTGATGTTTAAAATCTTTTTTTGTGTGGTTGCTTCAGTGACGTTGTCAAGGAGATCTAATACAGCAAATTACCCCTTTCTGGTGGTGTAGCTACAGTAGTTCATATTGCATCACCGGGGAGAGTTTGAATTTGTCCAGGTTCTGACCACAGCTGCTTAGTTTCTTCCTAAAGCTCTACCTCCCACTCTTCCCTCCGTTTCCTCTCTCCGTCCTTGTTAACCTGACACTAACCATTCCTCTCTGCTTGCCTTAACCTCAGCACTTCAGCTGTTACCTGGTGGATTTTAATCCTGATACAGTATTTCACATTACAAACAGTTCAGCACAGAGGCAGGCAGGCATTGCTCTAAGCTTAAATACACAGTTGTGAATAACATGTGCAACCTTTACAGATTTCTTCTGTTTTTGTTTTTTGTCCCACTAAAATGGTTCATATCATCAAATACATTTTAAAATCAGTACAAATAACCTGAGTAAACTCCAGAATACAGTTTTCAGTTTTTATGCTTAATGTCACGAGCATAAAATCTGCACATATCCAAACCAACATGACTCTGTCAGCACATACAGTTGTCCCTGTTGCCAAATCATGAAATAAATTTGATGTTTTGTTCTGTTTCCGTCTCCCTCCCAGGCCGGACTACTGCCAGAACTGTAGAATCTAGAAGTTACTTTAATGCAATTCATCTGACAGTAAATCAGTAGTCCATAATACATTTAGAAAATGGAACATGTCATGTTCTAATCAAAACAAATCCAAGAACCGATCTGACATCTGTCTGGAAAACGGTAACAAAGCCATTTCTACTCCAGCAAATACCAGGAACAGCGTGAAGCTTCCCAGGAGTGTCTGGCTGACCATAAGTGTCCCTGATGCCTGATCCAGGAGGTCACAAAGGAAACCTGAACAACAGCTGAACCACTTTGGGCCTCCCTTAGACAGGTTTTATGATTCAGCAATATGAGAGAGACTCAGAATTTTAGCAAAGCAAAATGAAGAGCTTTGCCAAAGTTTAGACTTAAATTCAGTCCAGACCCTTCAAAGTTAAAAGAAATTATGCAAAGAGGAGGGACATAAAATATATTTACTGCAATTTGATGGACATATTGTCTTTACATGTTTGAGGACAGTTGTTGCAACCAAAGATGAAACAACTTGTCGTACAATTTAAGGTCAATTACTTTTTCTCACTGGGCCAGGTTGGTTTGGATTGCTTGTTTACTTAATAAATAAAATTGTGATTTGATAGATGCATTTTATTATTTACTCCAGTTCCCCTTACCTTATAATAACATTAGTTTCACAATGTTTCATATTAGTACAGGATTCCATGTGCAGTTCTTGACATGTCAGAAACAAAAAAAAAACCAACTAAATTCCTGACCAAAGGGCTGGGCGATATAGCAACCTCTATATATGCATTCATATTAATATACTGACACAATACATCATGTCAGTCTGCCATTTCCTGGTTTCTTGCATTGTTCCTTTTAGACATGCGCTAATATCATGGCAGCTTATGTTGTATTATATTTTCAGATCACCACTGGACCACCTCTGAGCTGATAACAAATAGACACGTCTGTTTTAGTTTTAACTGCTGCAGTGACATCAATAAAAACGGTCATATAAATAGTTTTAGTTAATCCGAGCTATCATAAATGTCATAAAAAATATTTAATTTTATTGCCAAACACACAGTAATTGTGTAATGGGAGGAAGATGTGTATTTTGGGGTATGTTTGTAAGAATTCTGGACGTCTATTTTTTTTTTTTTTTTTTAGCTCTGATTGGATGAACATCAGTTTTTGGCTCTTGCCATCTTAATTGCATTTAGTTTTGGGCTGACTGAGTTATTCTGACACATGAACATGCTTCATGGGTGCTGCTGCAGTGTAGCTCTCGCTGTATGTTCAGGGTTATTCTCCTGCTGGAAGGGGAACTGATCCCCAAGTCTTTACCAGGGTTTCTCCCAGGATATCTCTGCATTTAGATCCATCCATCTAAATGGATGCTGGTCACTGGAAAACGAGCTGTTTGTCAGTGGATTAGGTGGGTTTAGGGTGATATGCAGTATTTGTTTTCTGCCACACATAATTGTAGAATAACGGGATTAATTTGGTGTCTTCTGAACAGAACACCTTCTTCCACATGTTGGCTGTTTGGTTGGAATGGTTTGTGTGAAGCTTCTTTTAGCTTTCATTTGTGATGATTTTCTTCTTGTCCCTCTTTTATAATGTTTCCCACAGATTTGTGAAATTTGAAAAAAAACTATTCATTCCTCTTTTGGGGTATTTTCTCATCTGAGCTGTGGATCTTTGCATCTCCTCCAGAGATGGGATTGTTGGCTGCTTCTCTGGTTATTGCTGTCACTTTAGATGTACATACAGCCATGTTTTGTTAGGTTTGCAGCTCTGTCATAGTCTTTCTATGTTTCCATTTATGGATTTCATTTGATAAATTACAGGCTGCTCAGTTCTTCCTTGTATACAGTTTCACTCCCTTTATTTCCACTAACAATAAAATTGCACAAATTGAAATTTTGGAAATAAATTTGCTTTATGGTAACAGGTCAATTTCAGATAATTGTATGTTTTTTGATTAAAAGGTTTTAAAAAGGTGGTTTTTCAGCCATATCAAGATAGAGGTTCTTTAAAAAACTGTTGTAGAAACACTTTTTTTTAAGTCATATGTTACATACTCTCTGGTAACACCGCAGCTTTTTCCAGCTAACAGATCCTATTGTGAATGCTCAGGCTAATTAGCATAGTCATCAATGAGAGCAGATAAACAATTTTTTTCTTTCTGTAATGGTAAACTGTTTCTCCACCATTAGCACATTTAACAGTGAGTTAGCAAGAATGATTGACAGCGCTGAGCCCCGCCTACTGGCTCTGATTGGTTGGAACTGTTTCTTCAGACAACAATAATAGCTCAAGGAGGAGGGACTGAACTTTTCACAGATTATCTCTCATAACATACTGTCATAACATAGTGACAGTTTTAACATCACGTGTCACGAAAGTAGTTCCTTTCGTGACACGGTGTGAGGTGAAGGAAGCCCCTGTCTTCCCTAATATCATTAAAGAAAACAATTGAGCAGTAACCCTAAGATCAGTGTCCGAATCAGAAGAAAAATGTGGTGTGAAAGAGAAGTTGTGGGTAAATTGAAGGGAAGGAGGCGTTTCTGGCTGAGATCAGGTGAGGATGATGCTGGACTTGTTTCTAAACGGAACCTTTTAAGGAAGGTCTTTTGTTTATTGGCTCTGTCCACCTCACATCTGACCCTCTTATTATGTCTGAAGTTGATTTTGTGCACATCTCAGTAATTTCCCGCGCAGAGCTTCACATTTCAGAAAGTACTGTAGTGGTCTGACGGGAATAATGTTGTCCACATAAACTTTAAATAGATGACTGCACACTAAGTTATGGCGTTGCTGCCATGTCCATGTGACATACAGGGTAACCAGTCTGTACCATCCCTGATAAAACAAAACATGTTTTTGTTTTTATTTTTCAGTCTGCTGGAGTAGTTGAGGAGCTGTTGAAATCACTGAAGGGAGAAAGGAATAGATAACATTTTTAGATATTGCTGCATATGCATCTGATGAGGCGTCTGACCTGAACAACAACTGAGTGGATGATTTAATATGCACAGTTGGCATATTAAATCATCCACTACAGGATTTATACATCTACAGAGATAATACTGATGAATTCCTTTGGTACATAAAATGGACATAATTTGCAGCTGTGTCAAAGTTCAGTAGCTGAACTGCAGGAACAACAGCAGCATATTCTGGATTACACAAACTGATGACAATCCCTGCAACTCTTATTTCTGCTCTGGCTCTTCAAATCTCTGTCTGCTTGTCAGTCTTAACTTGTGAAAGTCAGGAAGAGATCCTAGAGTTGGTTATTATGTAGTTGGTTATTTCTGCCACATCTCTTTGAAACACACTGCACTGCATTCCAGAGAGCCTGGCTGGGTATTTGTCAGCTCATCCTCCAATGTGTGAGAGCTCTCATGCTGGCCACTGTGATCAAGAAGGTTTTAACTTCTTGTTTTTCTTGATCCATTCTGCTGTTGCTCTTCATCCAAAACTCCTCCCCTGTAACCCGTCATTGATTTAGGGTCCAGTTTGGTGCTATTGGACCTTTTGACATATTTATCTTCTCTCTTTTATTTCACATTATCACAAGGTCACAAAACATGCTAAACTGAGAAAAAAAATAATTATGTAAAGGTAAAGCTTCCAATCTCAAAAAGATTTAAACCGTTTGTTTTGTAACAGAGATACAGGAACAAACTGCCACATTGTGCAACAAAATTTTACTCCAT